CCGTTAAGTAAGCTGGTATTCCTGTCCTGAAGATGAGAGCACCAACACCTCCCATCCCCATCGGGTAGCCAATCCGCACCACATGCCACACGCGTCTAGTAGGCAACAGATGAAATATTTGACACATGATTCAGAAGATTCAGATTCCTGATAAACAAAATAAAAATTATCAAATTAAATGAATTCAGTTAATGTATTTGTTTGGTAAGGGTCACAATCATTGGATGGATATAAAAGGGATAATGAAAGCTATTGGTTGAATCATGTAGCCACATAGATTGATTATTAATTGTTTTAAACAGGTTTCTTACGCTGTAGGATCATGTGCTTGGGCACAAGCCATCACAGCCATAATATAACACCCGTGGGCACGTGTATGAAAGCTCTAACAAATGGCACGGGTATTGTAATTACAACAGAGGTGCTGGCAAGAGTCCACCAGTCTCCAGTGTGACTCGGATTTACATATGAATAAAGTGACACCTCCACCTCTCAAACAGACAGGCACACGTTCAGCCACAAATGGTATTGCGCAATCCAATTGTCACAACACTTTATGCACAGACCCAACAAGCTTTTCTGACTAATTTATACAGACAAGCTGAGGATATTGCCTTCACATACGTAGCTAATTATGTGATGAATAATTGTATTCGGATTTAATTATATTTAACCTAGTGTTCATTTACATTTAGAGGGAAACGTGTGCTCTGGGAACCATCGCACCTCCAGTGGCGATACGTCTTCCCTAAATGATGTACAAATTCTAACAGGTAATAAACAATACATGCATGTGTCATTCCTAAACCTTTCCCAAGGGAAAGGGCTGAGCGACATTTTCCCAGACTGTCAAATCAGGGAAGAGCAAAGTGAATTTGGTCAACGTACTAAAGGCCTAACATAACAATTGAATGCGTTGAACCACCAGGAAGTGTTTTTGGGACCAATTCCATAGTGACCAATCCCTACAATGCACAAAACATGCTTAATAATCTGGAACTAAAAAACAAATACATATTAATTAATCTAAATTCAAGAGTTAGCCTATAATATTGAGGAAAAAACGAATATTGCAATTGTTCACAGAAATCGAATTTTGTGCATAGGGATCACCATTGATTTATCTCAAGTGTTCACACTGCCCTCTCGCGCTGTCGCTAATGTAGCTATTCAGACTAGCCTATAGTAATATGTGTAGCCGCGGATATATTTGAGAGAAGTCTGGTAAGTGTAAAAACACTCTTTGTAGCTTGTGGATGAAAGGGACCTCATGGCACTGAGGCACGCGCTGTCATAACCACACCAACCCTGGCACGTGAAAGACAAATGGCATGCGTAGGCCTATTAACGAAGAGGTGTTGGTGAAAGTTGGCAACAGAGGTGTTTGGCGAGAGTCGACGACCATCAGTTTTCGATTTTGATAAATTCAGACAGGATGAATATTTACTATATGTAGGCTAACTCTGTGATAGGCTAACTCTGTGATAGGCTACATTTTGTATGTAGATTTAATAATATTTTAACGTTATGTTCACAAGAGGACAACGTGTACTGTGGGAACCGTCGCACGTCAGTAAGTGGCGACACTTGTCTTTTAAATTATGTAGCCTACAAATTCTAACAGGTAGGCTCATTAACAAATGTGTAAATCCTATAGTTTTTCCAAAGGGAAAGGGCTAAGGTACATTTGCCCAGTCTGTCACGTCAGGGAACAGCAAAGTGAATTTGGTCAATTGTCCTTAGAAAGTATGGGCCTGTCTCATTGCATTGAACCACATGTTGTAATCAGTTTAAAGCCTAAAGTACTGACACATTACATAAACTAAATTGCGCGAATGCTAACATATGGTTAAAATAGCATGTTTGTTAGCCATTTAAATTTTTTTTTTTTTTTTTTTTTTTTTCACCTTTATTTAACCAGGTAAGCCAGTTGAGAACAGGTTCTCATTTACAACTGCGACCTGGCCAAGATAAAGCAAAGTAGTGCAATAAAAACAACACAGAGTTACATATGGGGTAAAAAAAACATAAAGTCAGAAATACAACAGAAAATATATATACAGTGTGTGCAAATGTAGCAAGTTATGGAGGTAAGGCAATAAATAGGCTATAGTGCAGAATAATTACAATAGTATTAACACTGGAATGCTAGATGTGCAAGAGATTATGTGCAAATAGAGATACTGGGGTGCAAAAGAGCAAAATAAATAACAATATAGGGATGAGGTAGTTGGGTGGGCTAATTTCAGATGGGCTGTGTACAGGTGCAGTGATCGGTAAGGTGCTCTGACAACTGATGCTTAAAGTTATTGAGGGAGATAAGAGTCTCCAGCTTCAGAGATTTTTGCAATTCGTTCCAGTCATTGGCAGCAGAGAACTGGAAGGAATGGCGGCCAAAGGAGGTGTTGGCTTTGGGAATGACCAGAGAGATATACCTGCTGGAGCGCAATGTAACAGTATTGTAGAAATCTAATTTGTGTGCGCATTATTCAGATAAGTTGTTACACTAAACAAAGTGAGAAACAAATTCATAAACATCCAGGAAAAGTACTTACGATATTTTATCAGCATTTAGGTTTCTCTCATGCAGTTCACACTGCCCTATCCTTCTTTAGCCAAATAGGCTGCAGATCAAACGGACATCATGGCTCTCAGGCACGCGCTGTCATAACCACAACAACCCAGGCACGTGTGTGTGAAACACAACTTAAACTTTTGAGTTTGACATTAAATGTGACCGTCAGACCCAATACTGACATTCTGCGCAAAACTCAATATGTTATTCCAGCTATATGCTGAATGGATGTTCATTGAAAGGATTGTGTGACTTGTGTCAAGGCATTTGATTCAAGGCTCAATGATGAATGAATGAATGACATTTTATTTTCGTGTCAAATCGCCAATTGGCAACCCATCCCTTATGGGATTAATTGACACATAAACAAACATAACAATAATTCACTCTGGTAATTAAATGATCATTCTTCTTCCGGTGTTCTCTGCATTGCGCGTCGCATAAAGAGTGAAAAAAAATGTAAGGTAAAAATCAATGCATAATAGTAAATAAGGTTATCCAAACAATAATTACATCCCTAGAGCAGTAAAATAATATAAATACATACATACATACATACATACATACATACATACATACATACATACATACATACATACATACATACACACTGTATATATACTCATACATACATAACATATACAGATTGGGGTCGATGTTTGAGAACAAACACACCGTTATAGGCTATTAAACTCCTGAATGTATACATTATAACAGATGATAAACCACAACTCCTGCATTATCCCATGAGAGCGAGATTGGTGACATTTTCCTAGTGAGTCACCTCAGGCATGGATGGTCATTTTGTGCGAAATGTTCCCGGCATCGACACAAGCAAGCATCGACACAAAGCATCGACACAAACAATGAACATGATGTAACAGAATATCACCAATAAGGTATTTGACATTGCATCTTAGAACTTGACCTATCCTGTCTGGTCAGATTTGATGACCATTTCCTTTTAATAATTTTGATTCCTTTAATGTATTTTTTACATGTACTGTTCTGTCAAAGTTATTGTGTTTCACTTTTGTTTATAGCCTTCGCCCAGTGTATAATATATGTCCGTGGCAAAAAAATGCACCTCTGTCCAGACTTCCCACTTATGCATTTGTCATTTGTCCATTCACTGCTGCTGTTTACCCGAGGTCATGCACCTCCAAAGACCACACCCCTTCTCGCTCCAATTTCTCACTCCAATTTCTCTCTGTCTCCCTCTCTCCTTCCTTCCCCATGCATAGGTTAAAAGCTGCATTGCAATGGCCTATTTTTACGCATGGCCTTACCATAATAGATAAAACCACTATCCTCGATTCGCGTGCATGTCAAATTTGGATTTTGACTCAATTTCCCACTGCTCATTTGTGTATTTCGTGTTGATTAATAGCGCAATCTCACTTGGCCATGTGGGGCAGATGGTAGGCTACTGCACGCTCACACAAGGTGCGACTGTTGTCATGCATGCGTAAATTGGCACTTACATGGAATGTATACATCATAAAGACGAGTTTGTTCGAGTTGGTGTGATTGTGTTCATTCTGACACTTTTTCAGCAACAGTAGTTTTCTGTTCCCACGAGAAAACCAACGTTCCCAAGGCACACTTGTCTAAAAGGACAATTTGGCGCATACATATGAAGTACTGCTATGGATAGTCAAAAGGCCTCCTTGGATGCATTGAGTCTGGAGACACACCCACCAATCCCCAAAGACACATTTCGTACCAAATTGGTCCTATATTTATATAAAGCGATAACTGCTTTACTGGTCAATTGCGCCAATAATGGCATAAACGCATTGTTTTCAATGCCAAATAAAGGTCAGAGAAGGCTTACCCTGGCATTTACAACCCATTACACAATACTGTAAACATATGGCTGCCTCTTATGGGACATTTACAATTTTTGTAAAATAAAATGAAAAATAATGCACAAAATCACATAGCCTACTCTTCGACAGCCATATAGCTACATGTTAGGATTAAGATATGTGGCTATATTATGGACTTTACGGTCATTCTAAATGTTTATGCTATATTGTAAATAATTTATTTTAGACCGTTACAAAGATGCACATTGATTTACTGAAATGAAGCTACTGTATCTTTGAACGTATAATCCATTTGGTGAGTATCAAGAAGGCATGCAACGTCATGAGAACGGTCGAGAACGTCATTGTCACCTTTCAACCAATGACAGTCGGTCTGCTTGACCTTATAAGTAGCTATGCGGCCTCATCTAGCTTCGTTGGTGAGTGTGGAGACTTCCTTTTCAGCTTCTTTGGCCGGATTTGGATTAATTTATCGTTTTCTTTTTGGAAAAGTAGTCTTTATTCATATAGGCCTACTTCATCGAGGAATGTTGGAAGGATCAAACATGAATAATCGAGGCCTACTTCATCGAGGAAAGTTGGAAGGATCAAACATGAATAATCGTAAAGCCTTAAAGAGGGTAAGGCCAGATCGTGCGTAAAACTAATTTTGAAAAAATATTATCTATATTTATTTTGGATTTGGTTTTGATTTTATTGCAATAACTGATGATGATGATTATTTTCTAGGTTCTTAAACCGGTAATTGAAAAGAAGAGGCGTGATAGGATTAACCAACGGTTGGATGAGCTAAGGACTATCCTGCTAAACAACACTTCTGACATGGTGAGTTGAGTTGACCACAGCTTTTCTAATTGCTGTCTGAAATCAGTTAATTGTGTGTCATTGTATTATCGAAAATATAGATCAGTTTTATTTCAATAATATACACTGTCAAGTTATTAATTACATTTCAAACAGCCCATACAACCACACGCAAACCAGACCCATGTGAATACTATGAAGAAATGCTGTTGCGCAAAACTTCGAGTTTTTACGCACGTATCCATCCATGACCTTAATTTAATGGAATTGAAAACGGAACTTGGTGTCTGTTAGGAACTTGATCTACACGTCAAAAATTGAATTTTTGCAATTCATATTTGTATTAAAAGTATTGGGTTTAACCATAAAATCATCACTTCCATACCAAAAAATCCTTCAAAAATAAAATTCGAAATATTGTGCTTAATGGTTGTTCGTAATGCAAAATATTCAGTAGGATTATTCTTCTCTCTCACAGCGGCTGAAAAATCCTAAATTGGAAAAAGCGGACATTTTAGAGTTGACTGTCGATTATATACAAAGAAAAGCAAATGGGAACAATAGCAAAGGTATCTATCAATCCTAAATGTTTATAGTTTGCCCGTGTGTGTGTTTCATTTAATCTATTTCAGAAATAGAAAGTGAAATATGCCCCAAACTGCTGATATAGAACATGTAATATTACTGTGAGTGCTAATAATTCTTTATTTGTCTCTCCCCAAAACCTCCTGATCTTCCCTTCCTATAACTTATCTACAAACACCTACACACCATTGGCTCTTGCTAATTGTTTTGGCTATTCTCCCACACATGTACATCCTGCTTCTTCATACTGTCCTCGCTCCATATTCATCTATCATGATCTTTTCTCATACTCTCATCTTCACATCACATGGATTCATCTCTTTCTGTCCTCTCTTCTCTTCCTAATGTTCTCCCTATACTGTCGGAATCACTATTGACCAACACTAGCCCTCACAGAAAATCATGTGAAAGAGTCCTCTACTCCAGTGACTAGTGCTGTGAGTTCCAAAAGGACAGGCCCCATACATGAGCACACACAGCCCCCACCCAACCCCATCTACAGTGCAGGTTTCAGAGAGTGCATCTCCCGCCTGGGCAACGACATTGACAGCGTGGATCCCTCCCAGAGAGAGAGCTTTGTCCAGGAACTGAGGGACCACCTGGATGCCCACAGCGCCTGCCCTCTGGGGAGGGTGCAGAGCCAGACCTTTCCCCTGAACCTCCAGTCCTGGGGCCCTGGAGCAGAAGGAGCATGCTTCCAGGGCAGAGTTCAGAACAGGAAGGACAGCACAGTGATGGGTCATCAACAAGCAGGCAGGGAGGCCACCTTCCCTAACATCAACACCTCTCTTTCCATCTATCCCAGCACCTTTGTACTCCACCAACCCTACCCTACCCAACACCTCTCGCACCCATACCCGTCTCCTCCTTACTCCCTCTCACCCCCACCCTCCCCCTGTTACTCAAACTCCTCGCCACCTTTCACCACTACCTCTCCATACCTCTCCATGCCCTGCCACTTCCCCTTCCCTCCTTCTCCCTCTGAACATCCATCAGATTCCTTGTCATCCTTGTCTTCTCACTCTACATCTCTGCTTGTGGTGCCTCTGGTACCAGCCCATCCTCCCCTGGTGTCCAGTCCCCCCACCCCTCTACGTCCCTCTGGCCCTGTGCCCGACGTCCCAACAAGGACTCTGAGGCGGTCACTGTTTCAGATCCAGCCCCAGGCAATATGGAGGCCCTGGCCCTGATATCCAGTGGAGGGTAAGTGAAATCCACCCAGGACATGTACAGGTCTCCACAATCTGTGTTCTGAGAGCATCTGGCCATCCAGATCATCACTGGACGCGTTCAGGACAACATTCATCTTTCCTATCAAGCAGCGCGTGGTGAGGGCCGGCTACATTAGAAAGATGTCAAGGACAATCAAACGTTTTCTGACAACCTGTCACTGTCACTTTAAAAGGCCTGTTAACAGACTGAAGAGTTCTCTGTTTTATGACGTTTTCTGAAGAGCTTACTGTGTAGACTGCCTGGACCTCCTCTTTGTTTTCTGGTCATGGACAATGGATTTTCTTCTTTTACAATCCTATACAGTTTTTCCCTGTATCAGATTCTTTCTTAAATTGTAAAACATTGTATATATATTTATATTTGATCATGTACAAAGTATTGGAATTAAACTCAGGAGAATAAAGTTCTTATTTTGCTAACTCACTTCATTTCCAACTTGACTCACTGCCTGTCAGTGCTAATGTGACCTACTCAGTGGAACATTTCAAATAATCTAAACTGAATGAATTTATTAGAAATGTAATCACTGTTAGGGCCTGTTTATCAAAATCATGATCATAACACTATTATGGTTTAAGTGTTAGTTATAACTGCTAGTTAGGCTATCAGCTAGTTAGGCTACCCTGAGGCCTACATCTTTTCTTGAAATGTGATGAATAATGGGCACATTGGGTTTAGAGTTTAATTTGAGATTTCTGCTGCAGCCAATGTTCCCTCTAAGCTGCGCGTGTGACCAGTAGCCCCGAGACACGCAGCTTCCTGGGACAGCCGTGCAAAAATATCAGCCCTCAGAGAAGCACGAGATTGAACTTCACTTTCTAGAGCAGTGGTCACCAACCCGTCGATCGCAATCGACTGGTCGATCTCCAAGGCGTTCCTAGTCGATCGTCAAACATTTCTGTAAAAACCAAACGATAAAGCCTTGTGTTCCTATGTTTTATTTATTTGTCTCCTGCTGTTGGCGGTAGGTGCACCCGATTCATCTGCCCTGCCGCCAGGTAGGCCAACTGTTCCCATTTTGAACCACTTCATGTGTCTGAAGGTACAAACTCTGCCTTCCCGGCGGGCCCAGAGAGAAAATCAAGTGCACTATAGGCCTACCGCTGGCCAATCGGATGGCTCAGATGACCGTGTCTGCAGTAACGTAGCAGGCATAAAAGAAAGATACAGCAAAGTTGATACTGTGAGATTTCAAAACGTTTAGAACCATGACTAGAGAGAGACTCAACGAATAGAGCAAAGAGCTGCTGTTTCTATGAGTGAGTTCATGTTTAAGTTCTTACTCGGCGCTCTCAACACTTTGTATTCAACACTTTCATCAGCCATAAAATGCACGTTCTTCCTATTTCCACTCAGCGCTACAACAAGCACTGCAGCAGTAATGAGTAGGAAAGTGTATCTATAGGCTTGCGTTGTTATTATTAGCGGCTTGGGTCTTTTTTAAAATCGAGGAATATTTCACTTTCTCTGTTCATAGGAGTAACAACATGAATTGGTGCATGAGGCAGAAATAATGCGGTGCGACTCGAGTTTCGCCATCAGCTTTTTGGTCAGTGTCAGTGGAGGAATGGCGTCCCTCACGACGCCAGGACAGCGGAGTCACTCACCACCTTCCGGAGACATTTGAAACCCCACCTCTTTAAGGAATACCTGTGATAGGATAAAGTAATCCTTCTACCCCCCCCCCCCCCAAAAAAAAAAAAAAAAAGATATTGAAAAGTGGTTGTCCCACTGGCTATAGGGTGAATGCACCTATTTGTAAGTCGCTCTGGATAAGAGCGTCTGCTAAATGACGTAAATGTAAAAATGTAAATGCTACCAGTGTGGTTGAGATATTTGTCATGGTTTAAGATTATGGCTCTATTGTAGTTGGCATTCATAATCTATGACTCCAATGAACAACCCTGGCCTATTGATTTTGGTTGTCAGTCCAGCTAAAGATATTAACTTCTTTAAATAAATCCCAAAACCAAGGGTCATGGAGCCAATATAATGAGTCAAGAGCAAAGTAATAAAATGCTCACTCAGAGGCTACGACAACATGTGTCTAGGCCAGCTGCGACTTAAATGTAGGGTAGTCTAAATAAATTAACCCGAGATTCAAATTTTATCAAAACAGTTTCTCTGGGCAATATGGTTAGAGATAACGAAACATAACTTCCTGGCATTTATAGTCTACAATAAACAATTTTACCACGGGAGAAAATCCTGGACATTGTTGCATAGCATTTATAGCTAATAAACCTTTTTACCAGGGGTACAGGAGAAAATCCTGGACATTGTTGGATAAAACACAAAAAATCACGATTTTACTATTCTTGCCGGCGAAAGAGGGAGTTTGATTAAGAAGAACCTCGGTGGGCCTATAGCTCATGAGGTGAACGGGCAAAAGTGGTGAGGGAGGAACGCCCTTCTCAAATCTAACAGTAATCTGCTCCGCTTGGTCATGTTGTCAACAAGGCAGAATGGTGCACCGTTCAGAAACGTAAAACCTCTCTTTTCCATAAAATGTGTCTGAATTTTCAAACTAGTTTTCGTTGGGAATGCAGATAAAGCGTTTTTATCAAAAATAAATCAGTTTTGCATGTGAAAACACAGAATCCTATTCATTACTGCATGTGCTTAACCTATGTCACTTGTTTTGAGCTACGTCACTTTTGGTTTGAGCTGACTTCGCTGTCAGCCAGAGAAGGTCACCCGGGTCTTCACTCCTTATCACAGCCACAATTATGGCTAAACCCTGACTTTTTCAAAAATGTATCTTATTATATCTGATTTAACCCTAATCTTTTATTCATGCAGCAGACACTCTTACCCAGAGCAACTTACAGGAGCAATTAGGGTTAAGTGCCTTCCTCAAGGGCACATCAACAGATTGTTCACCTAGTCAGCTCAGGGATTCAAACCAGCAACCTTTCAATTACTGGCCCGACACTCTTAACCGCTAGGCTACCTGCCGCCCTACATATCAGATATTCGTAAAATCATACATTTAAAAAAATAACATACAGATGTCTACTGCTCTAGCAGTAGGATATTCTAGCGGATAGTACTGACAGTCCGTTCACTGTGTGGCCCTGTAGTCCTGTACACAGCAATCTAAAGGCCATTATTATAATACTTCACACACTGTCCTGATAAGCAAAAAATTATGTGGTGTCACTGAGTTGGCACTAAAGCGTGTGTGTGTCTCTCACTCTCAGGCATTGGACAGCATGGTGAAGGTGAAGCTCTGTTGCAGGATCTGAGGGATGTGCTTGGGATGTGATGTGCTTAACCACACTGCTAAACTTATACCTAACCCTAACCTTAAAGGAGCAATCTGCAGCTGCTACATCCATTTTGGACTTGATTCTTGAAGAATATAACTTATAAATGCCTCACGAGCTTAGTTCAACTGTTGTACCCCATCAGAACCCAAAATATAAGCTTGTTTTACTCCAATTCTGATTGCTGCTTTAAATTATGACCAAAAAGTATATTTTTGTTTACATGAATTTTTATGGTATAGACTAGGCTGTGGTAACTAGTGACAACCGGGCACCTAGCTCACGCCCGGGAGGCATCCCGGTTCCAAATCGAATGCAATCCCTTTTCACCCAGTACAAACTCCTCCCATCGAGGCACAAAAGTAATAAACCCCGCCCATTTCTACAATTTATCTTCTTAAAATCTGATTGTAAACCTAACCTAAACCCTAACCTTAACCACACTGCTAACATTATGCCTAACCCTAACCTTAATTTAGACAAAAAAGCACATTTTTGTTTCATGAATTTTAGCCAATTTCGACTTTGTGGCTGTGGTAACTAGTGGAAATCATGAGAGGGGGTGGGAGCGTTGTAATCTGTTGTTTTGTCTTGCCTCTACAACAATACGTTGATGTAAAATTTGTGAACTAAATTGTGCTTATTGGCCGTATACAGATTTACAATCCATTTTTAAATAGGTAATTTCCCCAAATGGCGGGGAATAACAAATTACATTTCAGACAGGCAAATTATGGGATACCTATTTGTGTGCAAAACTAGGTCGACGTGAATTGCCCAACCCATGCACGTCTGTAATTGGTCAATTTTAGGACGACTGCCTAAAAGACGTAACCTCATTGGTTCTGAGGCCTCTCTGTCTAAGTGTGTAGCCTCTTACCGAAGGATAAAACAACCCTTTGAACCTTCCAACCTGCGTGAGTTGAGTTGTTGAGCTATAAGTTAGTAACCGGAGTTTGTTGTGTACAGCGAGCTCACAATCATACTACATTTCATACAGAACGACCGCACTGGTTGTTTTAGGAATTTTGGAGAGGCATGTCTCCCAAACATAATGTATTTATTTCACCAGTGTAAATAATATTAGCGAACAACCAAGCTATCAACGAAGCTGATGCTGCGGGGGACGTCAGTAACTCGGGAGGGAGTGTGGCAGTGACAGTTCAGCTTCACGAGAAGGCGGGGGAACGGTGAGTTGAGACTGTTGTGTTGTTGTTGATAAACATACAGTTGCCTCATCCTGTAGCTAGACGGCTAGTTTATATATTATTGCATTTTACTTAGTCACATTTATTCATGAACGCAAAGAGGTGGATTCGTGGGAAATATCGGCATTCATTGCTAGTTAACAGTATTGAAGCGGGTTCAAGCGCAGCATCAGGCATTGAGGAGGTGGGTTCAATTTCTTCATTGTAGACGTTCACTCAACGTTTACCTCCAATAACTTCTACTAGCCTATATCCAGTGACATGCATGCATTTTGGGGACTTAGTATAGAATACCATGCAGGCACAAATCAAGTTACTTTCAGTAGATGGCTAGTTTTATAAGTTGTCAAATTTGGAATAAATGCTTTAAATAGCCAGGAAAGCAGAAACTGAGAACAATTGCAAAATTGTCCAGTTTAATAAATTGATAAATCTTATGATTTATCAATTTCAGAGATCATTGTTTTAATCATTTTTGTTGGTGTGTTTTCAGTATGGTGGTCCCATGTCAGCACCAAAAATATTGAGTGGAAGATGATAAAGATGTCTGTTGATAAAGAGACTGTTCCAACCAGAAGTACGAAAGTGGACCCAGCGCCACCTCTGCCACCCCAGAAACTCTCAGAATGCACTGGAAGCTGCAACAATACCACCAAAGTGCCAGAGGTCACCCTGGCCAACCCAGACAGCACTGATGATGCTGCTACCTGTCCCATGCCAGACAGTGGGGCCCAAACCAAGCACAGCAGGTTGGCTGACCCCAACGACCAGACAGAGAGTGTTGGACAGGAGGCCATGGTGACTGAGCAGCACCTTAACCCAAAAAATGGCTTGCAGCAGCCCAAACAAAACCAGCAGCAGCAGAAACTCTCAAAGCGTCGCAGCACAATGAATGCAGGGTTCAAGCATCCAGCAGGTAAGAGACGACGACGGGCCAACTCTGAGAGTGACTCGGTTCTGCCCACCAACTTCCTGCTGGGAGGAAACATCTTTGACCCGCTGAACCTCAACAGTCTGTTGGACGAGGACGTGAACAGGGCCCTGAACGCTGAGACACCCAGGTCCTCCCCCCTGCCTGCCAAGAACCGTGACCCTGTAGAGATCCTCATTCCCAGGGACATCACTGACCCTCTCAACCTTAACAGCGGGATGGGAGGCAAGGGCCTCCTTGTGTCGACTTTTAAGAGTGGCGGCAGGAGGAGGCACCGCAACAGACACCACGGAGGAGGAGGTGGGGGGTCCTCAGTCTCTGGGTTGGACCTGTCAGATTCAGAAAGAAGTGGTGAAGTGACCAACACCACTGCTTCTTCTCTGTCTAACCTGGCATCTGCTAGCGCTGCGTCTGCCTCTGTTTTAGAAGCACACAGTGTCCCAGCCATCTTGGACTCCCAGGGTGGTGATGGTAAAGAGATCAACCCCTCCAACTGCAGGGATGAGGCCACGCTCACTGTATCAGCCCCCCAGGCCCAGCCTCGAGCCCCAGAAGACTCCTCAGCAGCCACGTCCGGAGGCCCAAACCAGCTCACTAGCCGGCCACGCAAACGCAGACGCAACTCTGGTAAAACCGAGCCTCATATGGCCCAATCTACTCCTATGGCCAAGTCAGGGACAGAGGAGAAGGGCCGTGGAGCTGGGCCCGGGAGAAACGCACAGTCCTCCTTCCAAACCCCAGTTGGTAGGTCCCAGGGGGTCCTCCCAGCTACCAGGGGGTCGGCAACAGCATCCCCACAACCAGCACAAACGACAACAGCACCAGGGCAACAAAAAGAAGTTCCAGTATGGGAACTACAACAAGTACTATGGTTACCGCAACCCAGGCTGTTCTGAGGACCCGCGGTTCCATTGTCTGCGTCCGGAGTGGTTCCAGGGTAAGGCAGTGCTGGACCTGGGCTGCAACACGGGCCACCTGACTCTGTGTATTGCTAAGAAGTTGCGGCCCGCACGCATATTGGGGTTGGACATTGACGGGGGTCTGGTGCACGCGGCCCGCCAGAACATCAGACACTACCTGTCAGAGCTGCAGGCCCAGGAGGCCCGGCGAACCACAGGGGAGGAGGAGGAGACCAATGGGCCGGAAGAAGAGAAGGAGGAGAAGGCAAACAGACAGGAGGAGAGGAAGGAAGACGAGTCACACTCAGGCAAACAAACACACAAACGGGACAAACTGAATGAAAGAGAGCACAGCAGGGCTGAGAATGGAAAAGTTGAAAAGCAGGTGAGAAGAGACGGCGTCCCAGCGGAGGCAGCGGATGGTGTGGTGTTGACACGTCACGCAGAGAGAAGAGCTCAGGAGAGTGGGACTGAGGAGAAGGACTCTGGAGCCCCTGCTGTTGAACTGGTGACCAGCTCTTTCCCTGTCTCCTTACATATCTCCAGGGGGCCCATAGCAGCACCCCCACTCCCCGAAACACCCACCATACCTCCTGGCAACTTCCCCTCCAATGTCTCTTTTATCAAGGTAAGCTTCCTTTTTCTTTCTATTTGAATAATCATTATTCATTGTATTAAGGACGTAATGAATAATACTGTGTTGCCTCTACTTCTGCTTGACTCTCAGAGAGAAATATCACACATTGTTCAGAACTCATCCCCTCGCCTCTCTCTCCTCCTCAGGGGAACTATGTCCTGGAGAGTGATGTTCTGTTGCTGACCCAGCGGCCAGAGTATGACGTAATCCTGTGCTTCAGCGTTACCAAGTGGGTCCACCTGAACTGGGGAGATGGCGGCCTGAAGCGCCTCTTCCACAGAGTGTTCAGACACCTGCGTCCTGGAGGCATGTTCATCCTGGAGCCACAGCCCTGGATCACCTACGGCAAGAGGAAGAAACTCACGGTAAGAGAGGGGGGAGAGGATTGGGCAGTTTTGTAAGGACCACCAATTGTGTGATCTTTTACATTAGCTAATGCACATACAGTATTAGCCATAGTCATGATAGCCAAAACATGCCCAAACAAGAACTCAAACCTTTAGCAAGTAGCCTGTTTCTTTGCAAAATACATAATGAGGATGTGCAGCTGTGCTCAGCTCTGGGGCAATTCAGGACTCAAGATGACATAATGTCTCCCTCTTTCATACTGTTACAGGATAGCATCTTTAGGAATTACCACAGCATCCGCCTCAAACCAGAACAGTTCTCCACATATCTGACATCTGAGGTGGGATTCTCCAGCTACGAGTTGATCGGGACGCCTAACAGTTCGTCAAGAGGTAAGTCACTAGTCGATAGGTTACCGATATCCATCTGATTCTTTCTTTTGTCCTTTTCCAGTCTAGTATATTTTGTTTCTGAAACTAATAGATTTTAATGTTTTCCGCAGGTTTTCAGAGGCCAATCTACTTGTTTCATAAAGGAACATAATCTGCCTGGAAGTACATTGAGTGTGTTAAGTGACAGAAACCCAAACCACCATGAGACACCTTCATATCTTAATCTCCAGCCTGTAAGCATATCTCTCAACCCCAAGCAGACTCAGTCAGAGCTTTCTACATGCCTGTACATTGACGCTGTGTTGTTTTGAAGGTAAGGAGTCCAAAACATGACAATTGATTCTATAAAACGACAATCTGATGGCTTGTCTACCCACCAAACTCCACTCCAGATGATGAGAAGAGAAGCTTTGGGAAACTCAATCATGACTTTGGGTTTTTTGCTCCCCATGCACAGGCATTGTGTTCCATATTTTTTACTACTGTTTGTACTCTTGTTCAGTCAAGGACTGTATTTTTCAGTTGGTTCATCAATATATCCAGCATTTTAAGGAGAATGGACAGGCGAAACCCAATTTGAAGCCTTTACATAAAGGTTGGGGTCCAAATGGAACTCATGTAGGAACATTTCTCACACTTTTTATAGGATCAGTGTCTTCATTTTAACATAGGCCACAGAGGAACTCATTTAGGACAATCTGACTGACCAGGAAAAGCAGTTTGTTTGTGGATGAGTGTGGCCTGTCTTCAGTCTGCTCCTGGTCTGGATTGCATTCCTTCCTGATGTCCTACTTTGCGTCCAGGGACTGTTCCTGCCTCTTTGTATTGGTAGCTGATTCAAGAACAACTGTCAGTCAGGTGGAGTTGACTATGGTGAGAGGATGATCAATGTTTTTACTTTTGGCCATATAAGAATGATTTTATTTGATTGTACTCCTTTTCTGTTGATTACTGTTTTTCTTACTTTTTTCTTTCAATGGATTCTTGTCATGTGTTCAATATGATTAGTTGCTGCCAACTAATCATATGTAGCCTATACAGGACCTCAGTGGTTTGTACTCAGATTTGACTTTAATTGTTAATCCAGCTCACTTTAACCCAAATCAATTCATCATAATGTAATGTTGTTTACGCTTTGCTCAATTCTTACGCTTAATATTTTGTTTACTATCACCAGCAGATGGTCATATGCTGGTCTAGTTCTGATGTTTGTTAATAAACAAATCAATTGAAATGCAGTCTGTGCTCATTAGTCATTCCACAGAGGACTTCATCCACAGGCCCTGAAAGAGAGTGATTCTCCGTTTGGGCTGATCTGTGACCGACTAGCACCTCCCCCAGTAAGAGGGGAATGAGGCAACCTCAGAGTTACACACAAGGGAACCTTTTTCCCATACACACGCACAGCAGACAGGGAATAGATGTGGGAAGGATGTGGTTCTGTAGTACAGGAGATGAACAGTAATGAATAGGCTGTACACAATTAGCATGAATACAATAGCACAGCAGGAGCACTGGTAAGGACTGTATAAGTATAAAGGACTGAATAGATCAGGGCTAAATATACAAACAATTATCATTAACTACTACCAACAGTAAATAGTAAACACAAGTTATAACAACTCACTTCTGTACGCACTCCATCACACAAGTCCACTCGGAGGACTGAAGAGACACTGGCCTGCACAGTTGAAGAGCTGTCAGGTGTCCTTCCCCCTAACAGCGTGCCCTTTCGCAACCAATCAGGGCCCAGGTCAGAGAGTGTTTGAGAGGCTGGTTTATGGTACCCCTAGACCCCTCAAACGCAACTTTGGACCTCAAAGCCAGATCCACAAATGTCTTTCATTGTTCCCCTCGAATCAGGGACTGATTTAGTACCAGGACACCAGGTGGGTGGAATTAATTATCAGGTAGAAGAGAAAACCAGCAGGCTCCGGACCTCGTAGGGTAAGAGTTGAACACCCCTGCCCTAGACTCTCAGGCTCTGGTCGTGGGGGATGGGGAGTGGAGTGTGCAGCTTGGAAGGGTTGTGAGATGCTGATAACAGTCACCCGCAGGGAATTCGTAACAGGCCCTATTAAGACAATCTGATTGAATACACTGTACATAAAGGTTTGATCAATTATACATTTGTACAAGTATTTTACTAGTCAAGCCCTGATATGGTCGAAGGAATCTTCGCTAGAGATTTGCTACAAATCTGTTGATACAACTCACTTCTCTATCTGTTGAATTTGCACTGATATGAGGGAATTAAGAATCAATAAATTGTCAATTATACAAAGTCCCTGATTTACATGCCATATCTGATAATCTGTTTTCTGGAAGTTTGGGCTTATAACTGGCAGGGAGTTTCTTGTTTCAATAAGGTTGCCTGAATCATGCATAGGAGAACCCTTTTTGGTTCCAGGGAGAACCATTTTGGGTTCCATGTAGAACCCTCTCTGGAAAGGGTTCTACCTGGAACTCAAAAGTGTTCTACCTGGAACCAAAAGGGTTCTACTTGGAACTTAAAGAGTTTTTAAAGGGTTCTCCTATGGGCACAGCCGAAGAACCCTTTTAGGTTCTAGATAGCACCCTTTTTTTCTGAGTGTATGTATGTTCAAAGGGGCAATCTGCAGTTCAAACAATTACAAAGCGTTCACTTGCCACGTGTAACCACGCCAGCCCAGGACCTATACATCTGGCTTCTTCATTTGTGTGATTGTCTGAGACCAGCCACCTGGACAGCTGATGAAACTGTGGGTTTGCACAACCGAAGAACTTCTGCACAAACAGTCAGAAAACGTCTCAGGGAAGCTTATTGGCGTCCTCATCATCCTCACCAGGGTCTTGACCTGACTGCAGTTCAGCATCGTAACCGACTTCAGTGGGAAAATGCTCTCCATTGATGGCCACTGGCACGCTGGAGAAGTGTGCTCTTCACGGATGAATACCGGTTTCAACTGTACCGGGCAGATGCAAGAAAGCGTGTATGGTGTCCTGTAGGTGAGCGGTTTGCTGATGTCAACGTTGTGAACAGAGTGCCCCATGGTGGGAGTGGGGTTATGGTATGGGCAGGCATAAGCTACGGACAACGAAAACAATTGCATTTTATCGATGGCAATTTGAATGCACAGAGATACCGTGACGAGATCCTGAGGCCCATTGTCGTGCCATTCATCCGCCGCCATCACCTCATGTTTCAGCATGATAATGCACGGCTCCAAGTCGCAAGGATCTGTACAGAATTCCTGTAATCTGAAAATGTCCCAGTTCTTACATGGCCTGCATACTCACCAGACATGTCAGCCGTTGAGAACGTTTGGGATGTTCTGGGTAGACGTGTACGACAGCGTGTTCCAGCTCCCGCCAATATCCAGCAACTTTGCACAGCCATTGAAAAGGAGTGGGACAGCATTTCACAATCAACAATCAACTGCCTGATCAACTCTATTTAAAGGAGATGTGTCGCACTGCATGAGGCAAATGGTGGTCACACCAGATACTGACAGTTTTTCTGATCCACGCCCCTACCTTTTTTTAAAGGTATCTGTGACCAACAGATACATATCTGTATTCTCAGTCATGTGAAATCCATAGATTAGGGCCTAATTAATTTATTTCAATTGACTGATTTCCTTATATGAACTGTAACTCAGTAAAACCTTTGAAATTGTTGCATGTTGCGTTTATATTTTTGTTCAGTGTAACTAATATTTGTACTCTACAGATGTATTGTCATACAGTTGGTATTGGTATTTTATTAGGATCCCCATTAGCTGTTGCGAAAGCAGCAGCTACTCCTCCTGGGGTCCACACAGAACATGAAACATTACATAATAAAGAACATTAATAGACAAAACAGCTCAAGGACAGAACTACATACATTTTTTTTTTTACGGCACACATAGTCTACATATCAATATATACACACAAAATATCTAGGTCAAATAGGGGAGAGGCGTTGTGCCGTAAGATGTTGCTTTATCTGTTTTTTTAAACCAGTTTTGCTGTTCATTTGAGAAATATGAGATGGAAGGGAGTTCCATGCAATAATGGCTCTATATAATACAGTACACTTTCTTGAATTTGTTCTGGATTTGGGGACTGTGAAAAGACCCATAGTGGCATGTCTGGTGGGGTACGTGTGTGTCAGAGCTGTGTGTAAGTTGACTATGCAAACAATTTGGGATTTTCAACACAATGTTTTTATAAAAAGAAGTGATGCAGTCAGTCTCTCCTCAACTCTTAGCCAAGAGAGACTGGCATGCATAGTATTTATATTAGCCCTCTGATTACAATGAAGAGCAAGACGTGCCCCTCTGTTCTGGGCCAACTGCAGCTTAACTAGGTCTTTCTTTGCAGCACTTGACCACATGGCTGGACAATAATCAAGATAAGACAAAACTAGAGCCTGCAGGACTTGCTTTTTGAAGTGTGGTGTCAAAAAAGCAGAGCATCTCTTTATCATGAACAGACCTCTCCCCATCTTCACAACCATTGAATCTATATGTTTTGACCATGACAGTTTACAATCTAAGGTAACACCAAGTAATTTAGTCTCCTCAACTTGTTCACCAGCCACACCATTCATTACCAGATTCAGCTAAGGTCTAGAGCTTAGGGAATGATTTGTACAAAATAACATTTGTACAAGCTAACATCTAAGAGCATCCAAAAACTCCTCAGCCAGGAGTTTCAAACATCAGCAATGCAAGCAGTGAGTGGAGTTCTTGCCAAAAAAGTCAGTAGTTTGAGCTTTCCCAATTCAGTTGTTCAGTCTGAGTTAACTGTATCAAGTCAAACAATGTCTGACATTGTAAAGACAATCTAAGTGCCCCGGAGACTACTAATATTATTAGACACACTTCCCGCCTGATCCGCAGGAGGCACAGAAGGACCAATGTGCGGAGGTGCAGGAGACGGGGTAGAAAGAGACTTTAGAGCGCGCCATACCCCATGCAGCAGGCTATCTGGGGAAATTAGACAAAATTGCTAGTGTTTTTCTCTTCCTCTGTATGTTATGTCACTTTGTTGTAGTTCAATTTAGTACCACTGGGTGGCATAACATTCCATGAAATGTGATCTCTGAAATGTTCTGCAATTTTGTTCTCAGGCTACAACCCAAACAAGAAGACAAGAAACGGGGTTAAGTAGTGAGACATGGTCAGATCATCAAAACCCCAAAAAACAAGTAGCCTAATCTAATACTGTCATTACAAATGACCTTATTTAGAATTCAACAGTTTAAGTTTGAGTATTTGCACTTATGCAAAGTTTTGCCTATATTAAGTGTTGTATGTGTAGAAGAAAAGGACCTGACATCCCTGGTTGTGATGTCATTTTGTAACCTAGTTCAAGTCACAGCTGTGAGATCGACCAGCTATCTAAAATAAATGTGATCCTCCGGCAGCATCCTCATGGTCTACAAGTTCCTCCTGGGTCCCATTCAGCTGACCAGAGCCTGTCCTTGGCCTACTTTCAGTTAGACTGAGGCAGCTGTAGGGCCAGCAGAGCACTCTTGTCTTGAGGAAAGCGGGACAGGAGGATGGAGACTGCATTCTTCTTGGTGAGTGTTGTTCTCCAGTGTTAGGTACTGTACATAGCATCGTGAAGTGGTTTTGCTACTGTAATGCATGTCTATCAGTGTGTTTCGCTGTGTTTCAGTCTGTTATTCTATTTAGAGTAATTGTTCTGTCTCTGTTAGTTGTTAGTGTGTATCTCCAGCTGCATGTTGTTAAAAAGAGCAGGAGATGAGTAGGTAGAGGCTAGTAATTTGGTAGTTGGACAACCTACGTCCACAAATGTGTGCGAGAGAGATGGAGAGAGAGAGAAATGGCATGCAAGCTTGTGTTTATATCTGTTTTGTGTGTGAGGAGGGTATAACATAGTACTGTAGTTTAGAACATGAACGCTCATGAAGTTTTGTTAAGCCAGTAGTGGTGTGTGTGTGTCTGTGTGTGTGTCTGTGTGTGTGTGTGTGTGTGTGTGTGTGTCTGTGTGTAAACCCTCAGTGCCACAATAGGTTGGGTTATGTAATGTGGTAAACAGGTCAGTCATTTTCAGGTCACCTCCTGGCTGAATACTGTTGTTTAACACAGGTTGAGGTTCCAGCTCAGTTGTTGCCCATGCTGTTCTACTGAGTCTCTTCTGTG